TATCAATCATAGTATCAGCAACAGTCAACAGTACTAAGGTTAGAAAAAAATATTAGTATCATGATCAATAATGTTAAATTCTATTAATAACAATAATAGTATTAATGTCAATCACAATATCATATAATATTCATAACAGTATCAATATCAATACTCAAATATTCAATAACTATATCTTAAGGGTATCATGCTCCTAATTCTGAATCTTCATTAAAACATTAGCCCTATATTTATTTAATGGCGTATAATTGGATGACCTATAATGAATTTTATGAGATTAGCACCACTAGTCTCTTTACTACTTCCACTTTTTTTATTTGGAAGGTGGATTATAACTTTCTCATGAATTGTTATATTTTCTTGAGGATTATTTGAATTATTTCCAATGGTCATATATATACTAACTAGGAATTATTTATGTTTCTTATCAAGGGATAAAATTATGATATGAAAAAAATTATCTTTAGCATAAGTGAATAGCATAATTTTTTTGGGTGAAGAACTCTAGGAAAAATATTTTATAGTAGCTTAGGATTTTGTCTTAGAATTTGATGAGCCTCTAAAGAGAACTTTTAAAATTTCTCTCAAGTTTCTCTCCCTCACTTTGTTGAATCCTATAAAGATGAGAGGAGACTTAAATGATCTTTTGATTCATAATAAATATTTATCGAACCCCTAACAAAATCAAGAAAGTTGGGGACAGTTCTACTAGAAAGAGAGTACAACCAAAGGGTTTGAACCTTAGGAATGGAAGTGAATTTTTGGCAAAGGAATGCATTGATAGCAAATTTAATTTGCAAAATGGTATTTTAGAGGTTGATATACTTGTAAGAATCCAAAAATCTCATCATAATGATCAATAGTAGGTAACTTGAACCCCATCAAGGTGGAATGCCGAATAATTGCCTATATCAAAGGTGAAGACTAATAAAAATTGTGATGAGTTGATTTTTATCCATCAAAGGAGATTCTTCTTGAACAAGGAATCATAAAATCTTTTGTAGGGCATCACAAAGGGTTTCGTTGAGGCAAGGATGGATTAAATCTACAATGACTATCATGGGATTATGAATTGAACAAGCATCAAGTAAAGAACAATTTGAACTAGCAACATCAGAATCGAATTTAGCTTCAGTGGCGGGGAAACCTCATAAAGAACTTTAACATGATCAACATGATAGTAAGCAGACACCTAAGTCCTAACATGTTGTTGATCATGGGGGTGATGAACTTCATCATGTTGTGATGAAATTTAAAATTGAGTAGATTATTGTAAACACATAATCTTGTAAGATTTTTTTTTTCTTTATCCTATATAGATGATCCTATAAAATTAAACTAGGGTGACTTCCACCGATCATATTATATTTTCCTTAATTGATTTGTCCCCATATCGTTAGGTGTTGGTGTAGGAAGCTCAATTTCATAGGAATTATGTTTGTCATCCAATGAATGAGTGTTTGTAGGATGCTAGAAATGCTTATTACAATCATCAAATAATTGTGTGCTAGAATATTCACAATTGTAAGGCTATAGATTTGTACAAGGATCAAGCATACATATACATAAAAGAAAAGTTTCAAAGGAGATACCAAAGGATTTATTTGGTAACTCTTGAAAAAATTTATGAGGCCTGGCCAAGTCAAAATGACCTATTGTATAATTAAAGATGCATAGTCTAATCTTCTCCTCTCTTTGTAAATGATGGATCACAAAATTAGGAACACTTGTTTGGTCTCTTATGTTTGCAATGGAGATTGCAGAAAAATTAGTGGAGGGTGATGATAATGGCAATCGAAGGATGATGATGGCTATGAGCTATCGTCGGTATTCAAAATTAGGTGGAGTTCTAGAGTTCTTTAGATCTCCAAGTCTCTCCAATCACAAGCCAAGGTCCTTTTTATGTGGAGAATGAGTGTAAAGATCATTTTGCTCCCAGGTTCGTCCGGACGAAGTTCGATCGTCCGGGACGATAGGTACAGGTTGTGCAGGAAAACAGTTCTGGCTGTATGGTTTGTCTGGACGAAAATAGGATCGTCTGGACGAAATTCTTACCGAGAGCAAGTCGTACGGGACGATAATTAATTTCGTCTGGACGATATCTGTCCAGAGCCCAAGTCGTCCGTGACGATAATTAATTTCGTCTGGACGAAATTCGTCCAGAGCCTAGATCGTCCGGGATGAAGTTGCGATCGTCCGGTACGATCAGTCTTGATATATAAGGAAATAAGATATTTTTGGAAAAGAAAGGACGTCCAGGAGAGAGAAAAAAGAAGGAAAAGAGGATTTTTGAGCGACTCCGGTCTGTTTTCGTCCGTTGTGGTAGTTAGAGAAGTTGACCGACTCGAGGTAAGG